GTCTGTAATATCCAGTAGAGAACGACAGCTACCGCGGAGTGCAATAAACCCGAAGCCAGCAGTGGATCTAAGTGGCGGACAGAGCAGGAACGGTAATGACAATCGAAAAGCGGTTAGAGTAAGGTTGGAAGGTAGGTAGGTGAGTCTCCTGGGCTTCTACCTACCTGCCCATCTACCTAGGTAACCTTACCACAGGCCCTTAGGGCTGTTCTGCAACCTTGACTATACAAGCAGTACGAAAAGTGCATTGAACCCAGGAGCGTCACGTGCCTATTGGCTATCTCGTGTTTTCCTGCGGTTCGCATGGAAACGAAGTAACACGAGAGAAACGGGCCTGACTTTTCCCGGAGGCTGATCGGACTCTGCGTATTTGCACGGATCGCTCAGCATTTACATGTAAGATTCGATAACGCCCAGGCACCTTTAGGACGAGGTGAGAAATGCGCCTAGCGGCTGCCAGCACGTAGTACGATCGACGATCCACGCGGTCCTGGCTCCATGTAGACACGTAGGGAGGTCGGACGGAGCGATATGGGCATGTGGCCACATATGCAGATACATACAGGTATGCCACATATAGAGAAGATAGAGAGTATCGAAGAGCCATATCCAAGCACTGTTGGTTACACGATCCAGATATCGGTGCGCGTTCCGTGGACGCGTGGACGCCTAGTGGTAAAAATAAAGAAGTTATGAGGAGAGAAACACACTCCGCGCGGGTAACCTATGCAAATCTTGAGATAAAGCAAACAGAGCGTGGTGCCAGCTCCGTGACAAGATCTTTAATCACGATTGAATAGCGAGTACGGTACACGCCACCTTTTGTATCGTCACGATAAGAACAGCTCCGTGGTAAGGAAGCGTGCGGGGGGAACGAAGGGAGGACCAACATCAATCTCCTCTGACATACCGAGAGAGTCCTTGCATAATGCGACTAAAGTTTAATTGGCACATTACTTTACTTACCCCTGTCCAAGGACAAATCAGCCGAGGACTGGTAGTCGCTTTGGTCTGTCCCATAAACGATATCGATAGACAAAGAGAATCCTGGCTCCAGCACGTACCAAGGCCACTGTCCTACCTGGCTGGTTAATAAGGAGCATCTCCAAAGTCTAAATCTGACTACTACCACACTACCCCTCTGTCATGTTGCAGCAGCATCCTTACCCGTAACCGCCTTCGCGTCGCCCGATGTGTTTTCTAGGCAGTTGGTAGGTGCCTCTCTAACAGTATCCGTATTCCGACTATAGAAGGTAGTAGTACCCACTTAGAGCCAGAGCGCAGCCACGCATAAACCAGTTTCCTGGTTATCCAACTCGCATTTTCCTGGTCGACGCATCGCGAATCCAGTCGCACACAACGTACCATTAACAGATGCTTTTACAATTCTCCCGGTTTGCCGATCGATTCCGCTTGCCCACACGCGTCTGGTTAAAATATCCCTTCGCCATCTATCATCAATCACGGAATAATTACACGACCAGACTCACCAGATACATCGGATCCCATGATGCGTCAGTTCGATGAAATTCAATTTTACCCTGGCAAAGCGGCAAACTTCAGGTCGACGAATCACTTGGACTCCCTCAGGTATTATTTACTCGAGGTTAGCCCCGATTTCTTTGTCTCTCTCTCTCTCTCTCTCTCTCTCTCTCTCTCTCTCTCTCTCTCTCTCTCTCTCTCTCTCTCTCTCTCTCCTCGGCTCTCTTCATCGCGTTCCTTATCCAGATACTTGTTCGCGTGGAAGAGACTGACAAAATCCATTCTCTCTATCGGCAATGACAATCGGCACTCACTCGTATTCCTCGAAGTGCGGAACGCAGAACGGCTAATGAGCAAAAATCTTCAGCTCCGGCTTTCTGAATGCATAATTTCGCGTGTCCATCTGATCGATAATCGTTATCAGGAACGTTCGGTACCGTTAAGCGATAAGAGAACGTCCGTTAGTGTATATCGATGCGATAGGTAAGAATGGACAGGATTAAAAAAAGCAGTAGAAAAACTTAATTAAAACAAAATATCTATAAACAAGATATCGGTTACGGCTCACTCGACAGACAGAGAGCCTCTGGCTGAGTTAAACTAACCCGAACGTTAATGATCCTGTAAGAAAAATGTCCGTCATCGGGTACAATTAACTCCCTCACGATGATCTTCATCAGGTTACAACAGTAGATTCGTCGCAGGACGAAGAGTCACCAAATTGATTATCGTAACGGCTTGTTAAACAATCCCAAAGAACCAAGTGGGTCGTCATAAATCGTTTAACGAGGAAAGTAACACACGCGCTCAATAAATCCGCCGAGGACCCATTCAAAGGCTGTAAAACGATCGGTATCTTTATTAACGACGATAACAATGCGAATACCAGCCAATTAGCTCACGAAATGAGTCTCCCTCTGGTCGATGATTATTGGCCTAGGCGATTGTTCGTTGGTTGCGGCCTAACTATTGTACATCTACGTACCAATGCGCAGACACATACGGTAGACACGGTTATACAGGCCTAGCGAGTCGCGCTCATTTTGAAGAAAATTCCGTGGGGACGAGGCAAGAATGTGTGATTGCGATTGAGCTCGATGGGACATCGGGAAACCGTTACTTTGCCATGTGACGTAGTGGTGGGCACCTGGTGTGCGAAAGATAGCCAACCAGTATATTCAGAGACACCACTGACGCCTAGGTCGCGCGCTCACACGTGCGTCTGTTCCTTCTCTCTTTGCTGCGCTCGATCGTGTTAACGTCTTACGGACGTGTCGGCCTGGACTGGTATGTACCCCATCCGCATATATCTATATGTGCGTATGCATAATAGTAATAATAAAAGCTACCGGGTAAAATCGTCTTGCCATTTATTGAAGAGGATCGCCTATAAAATTACCGGTCTCCTTTACGTTAATTCGCGAGACTATCAATGATTACATAATGATCCAGTGTCATTTCGATCGGAGGCTTACGAGATGCCAGTGAGACGCGTGTGTTTCCGTGTTGGGAAGAACAGTCCGTGCAATGGGAAGCGATGATTACATGTAAATTGTGGATACCGTTAAACGTGGAATCGTTGATCTCTTACCGATCATTTAAAGGGGATTCACGGAGTGTGATCGCGACCGGTGCGATTGCTCGTGTACTTTCGAGATATGTTAAATCGTCGATTTCGTACGTCTTGGAACGAACGATCGTTGTAGGCGTGGCGAATCGATTTATCCGATTGCCGAATAGGTTTACGCTTCTGCGATGGTTTCGCGTAAATACCCGAACAACGGGAGAGCGCGAGGTTCGATCGGTCGAAAATTACTGCACGGGGAAGACGATCTTCTGGTATTCTGGCGATCCGATCGGTAAGTCCCCCAGTGCGTACCGTTCCGCTGTCCTCCTTATTCAGTTGGGCCTCGGCGCTGGGTCCTCTTACAATCAGACGCGAACGAACGCCCGTGGAGAAGAGTAGAGCTGGCAGCAGGTAGTTACCGGTGACCGTTAGCCATCGAACAGAAGCAAGTATTCAACTTGCTATATGTTGATCGGTTAAAGTGAATTTTTAAATTTCTACGCTCGCGGGATAAACAATTAGTGTTTACGGTTAGATTGTGGATAATCGTCGTACGCGGGCCTGTGTGTAGCTCGCATTAAGAATAATCATTCCCTCGGACCTGTTCTCCTTGTTCGCGTATCGTTAAAAGGTTCAGAGATCGTTAAAATCTACTTTCCTACGTGACGATGCGAAAACTCATCGGTTTTGCAGATTTAACAGAAATATAATAGGACAGACCTCTGCATGGTATATCTTCAGGGTGAATCAGGAATACGTGATGTTTTTATCGTCGTTACACAGACAAGCTCGTACCATCGGTAGTTCACGGACGAGACCCACCTGTCACTTTTAACAGCTGTCATACAGTCGCTTCGGTTAAGTGTCAAAGGATTTGGCAAATTGCCAATTTCATCGATCCACGTGACAAGGGCCGTGTAAGGGGTTACTTAAGATTTTGACGTTTTCGATACTTACCGCGAGTGCGAGGGAGATAGAGTGACATGGACCTTACGTGGGTTAGAGAGAGACAAACATATCGGTTGATCAAAATCCTGAGTAATACCCCTTTCGCGAATTGTCTATGCTGTAAAAAGTCCGATAAATTTCTTGTTTTTCTTTACTGTATCAACAGCGACACGTGTAGCCAGAACGACTTGCATGGTAGCTATGGAAAATTGACGGGAATCCTTGACCCGTATAAAGTATAGACACTTCACGGCTGGATATTCGGGTTTTATTGATACTTCCTATAAGAGTGCAGGGAATTTCAGCGGAAGTCAGGCGTGTTTGAATACTTCCTGCCCCAGGGAAATTTTATCGTGCGCCACTATTTTCCCTTCATAGAATCTACGTCGAATCGCGTAACAATGTTTTTCCAGTTTATCGAATAAACGCCGTAGCGCAGTGATTTTTCGGGTGTGGACTCCTTTCCCTCCGTTTCCTTATATACATGTATTTCATCTCTCTCGATCATACTCCTCCCTTTTGCCCCAGCAGTAAGATTCTACGCCTGGCCCGTATTATAGGAAAATATTCCTCGCTCGATCTATTCCACGCATCAGTGACTTCAGCCAGGCACTTCTAACTCCACTTTCTTCACTCCCTATCCTACTTGCATGGTTTACACTCATCCTCAACACTACCCCCCCGGTTATTCCTACTCGGCAAAACTTTCGCACTCACCTACTGACTTTTAACTCAAAACGACGATCCGTTAAGCACAAACTTTTCAACGCTCTTGTCCGAAACTTCACGTAGCTCCGGTATAGAATTCGCGAGAATTAACCTCCAGGTAATTTAAGTCTTACCTGATTCTATATAATGAAAAATATTTGACGAAGCGTAAAAGGACCTGTGCCAACACAGTTAAAATTATCTAGAGAGTACCGCTATACACGTCTATCTCTTTGGAAGTTAGTCAAGGTATAAATATTGATTTAACTCAAAATCTACATATTTACTTTCACAGATAACGAGCTAATAAGGTGGTTGGCCTGACGATGGATAACTCACGGCGCTACTTCCTCACGTTATTACTACTGGCAACATCCAGTATCTCAATTACGACGTCGGCCGATCCTCCAGTGGTATCGGCCTCCGAACCGTCTGGTGTATCCGGCCCGGATTACACCGGCCCATCCGCAGCTTCCGATGAGTGCGATCCAGAGATGGTCGGCTTCGAATTGGTCACCGGATATGTTTACACAGCACCTACGAACATGCTCGAGTCCATACCCGGGACGCTGATGCTTACCGATTGCCTGGAAACATGTCAGGCGAACGATTCCTGCCAGGCGGTCAACTACGAGACTGGACTCTGCGTTCTCTTCAGCTCCAATGCAGATAACAATCCAGGTAAGGCTCGACACAGCCATGATGCTTTCTACCGTTTCTTTACACGATACCGTTTCTGATATCTCGTGCGCTCGGCCGTGCTCTTTCGCGTCGTTACGTTACGTTACGGTACCCAGTGCAATGGCGAATTTTAACGGTAAGCATTGCGGCTACAGGCCCATCACTGTCGAATTGCTTCATTCGAGTCAACTAATTAGGCAACACTCATCGTGGATACGACGATACTGTATCTCGATGTACTAAAGTATACATTATCATTGAAACGGACTCGAGCACGTTTTCTTTTTTTTTTTTTTCTTTTCATTTAAGATTCCTAGAATGTTTCGAAACTTTGAAATTTCGTTTGAATCTTTGTTTTTTTTCTTTATTAACAATAAAATCAAGAGTTTTTGGAAAAAAAAAAATTTATATTCTGACAGACGTTTAATTGCTTATAGAAATTCACCTGTATTTCAGTTAGCGTGTCCAGATACAGATTACATGACTTCAGCTAGGTCTTCATTTCGGATTATCTTATAAACGTCTCCCGTCAGTCCATTCACCTATCTGCCATTCGAGTCAGCATTGCTCCTTACGTAACCACCACTCCCGGGATACCCATATCGATCTGGTACCAAACTGAATTCGAACCGATACGCTTGGCAATCGTTCCTTTATCGAACGACGCGGATAGTAGTCACACCAGGAGTCATTGCGATGTCCATTGAATTTAATCGTTGGAGAGATTCTTCAATCCTTTATACAGCTGCCAGAACATTATAAGCCAGAGCACCATTTTCGGAGCCGACTACACGTACCGAAGGATCAGTTTAATGAGGATAGTAATTTTGAAGTTAAGTGGGATACGGTATGGGTATATGATTAACTAGAGTCTATTACGTATAATTTAAACTGATATGGCATTTCAAACGTCAATATTAACGTAAAATGGACGGAGGCGTATCTTTTGTATTCCTCGAACAATATCTTCTTTGGTCCATCGTCTGCATTTTCTGCATTATGAAACCAATGAAGAAAAAAAAAATAAAAATAAAAATAAAAAATAAAAGAGCACGTGCCGCCATTGAGAATTCTATTGCTCTATTAGCAATAGCAATAACAGTGGGGTACTGTACCTATAGCCACAATGCAGTTAGTTACCAGATAGTACGTATTGCTAGTGCCTGACTAATTGTATGACTCATCCTCAACCACTTTCATAGATATACACTAATGGTCCACTCAGCCTCTTCCCTATGCAAGTCATACGCACTTCATTCATCCAATCTACTGGTACAGAAGAGTCCTTTGGCAATATAGTCAAAAGGCTGGCCTCTGGTTAAAAAAAAAAAAGAGGGATCGACCTCCCTCCCTTTTTTTATCCATAATTCGTCGAGCCAGTGACACCGTGAAAAGATCATATTAAATGGCATTATCGTGGAAGCGCGTGGTAAAAAAAAAAAAATGCATGGTACAGTCCATACGTAAATTAAATTTTGCTATGGCCCCTCGAACCCTCGCCGTATCGGAGGTCTCCTTTTTCATTTGGGCCTAGAGGACCTGGACACTTTTACTGAGCTATCTATCTATCTTAGGCCGGGCCGTGAGTTATAAGGATCACGTGCATTGTCAGCAAGCGCTACCGCCGTGGCCTCCTCATGAATAATGGATACTGGTATAAGTGAGTGTAATGAGAGACGCACTAATTGAATCTTCCGTGGTATAATTAATATAAACTATACGTCCGTAGCCGTGCAAAAGCATAGGCATTAATTAAAAGGCAAATGAGTCTCGGGCGCCTAGGAGAATATCGAGCAGAGGACTATATAGAGATTGTCCGTACATAATGATTTTTCGACGTTATCCGTTAGATCGATGAAACGTGGAACGTGGAACGTGTCTGGTTGGTAATCCTGCGAGTGACGGCAAGTCACGATCCTGCGATACTTTTACCAAAGTCCCGTTAACCGTTGTCGATCATCACCTGAATGCTGACCTCGACGTTAAATCCTTTGACACCTACCCTGACACGACTGGTCTCTCGGTCTTATCACTCATCGCACCACCTCTTGAATCACCTCTTGAATCACCTCTTGGTCTTACCTTTGTCTTTTGCTGATACCTATAGATATACCGAGAGTACAGCCTATAGGGTCAGGTAGGTAAGTTTCGATGTAACGGAATGGTGTCTTTCCGACTGTCCGTGTCCATGTTTCACTGGGAAAGCAGCGGTAGTTTGTATGGAAAAAAAGAATTGCCTTTTCACGACAAAGCGAATTGTTTGATTTGATAGAAATTGCGACTCGAACCGGGTCCAGGACAGGAGAGGCCAATCGAAACAAAAGTCAATTAATCCGAGGAACGTGCCATCCGCTACACTTTTTGGAATCACAACAGGCGGTCTTTATCTGATATCAAAGATTTAACGAAATACCGAACGGACCGTTTTGTTTGGCTTCTTGGTCTTTTGATAGCCGCGTCAGGAAATGCCGGCTGAGTGTATCTCTTTCATTGTAAATATTTGACAGTGAATCGTAGACGTTCGCTGGATTAAAAGGGAAACAACCAGTGCGCTGTATACAAAGGCTAATTGTAGTTAACAAGCTTATCGCTGGACAATCAGGGCCCGTGGATCGCGTTAGTGTTGAAGAATCGATGTGGTGGGTGGAAAAGAGGGGGAAAAAAGGGAGAAGCGCCTAGCGGGTTTTAAGAGAGAGCCGTTTCATCTCTGTGCGATTCGTGAAGCTCTCTCTCCCTCTCTCTGTCTCGCTTGTACTATAGAGATGCTTGAATGAACGCTTGGTAAGAAAAAATGACGGGGTAAAAAAAATTTGGAAAGAAAGGCTGACCGGAGGAAGGCACGGTAACGTCATGCTATCACGTATAGTTCGAATCGGGTCGAACAAAGAGACGCGCATTAGCGCAAAACTGACAGGTTGACATTGATTCGCCGATTTACCCCATCGCGTCTGCGTAAACAAAAGAAAAAAAGAACACAAGGAGGCGACAAAAAATGGGGAAAAAATGTCGAAACGAGGTGTCGACAATTTGAAGGTTAATTACAGAAAATCGAAGAAGCCGTCGCGGTGTGACCGTTCGAGCGGGTGTCTGTGGGTAATTCACGCGAGGAAAAAAGAGAGGCCAAAGAGTGCGAAGAAGAGGTTAAAGAAAGGAAGGAAAAAGAAGAGCATAAAGGGGTAGCCGTATATATTGGCGAATAAATTCGTAGCAGGTCACGCAGCACAGGCTATTGGTCGCGGTTCGATCAACCCGTGACAGGAACTTCTTTGGACGGCGATGCCAACGAATGACGTACCGTGCCTGTCTACCAAAAACCGAACTGTCAATTGCATTTTTGTTTTGCCACCGAGACGAATAGAGTCCGGAGCTCTGTACGTGCTCGGATGAAGATCGTCGAAGGGAGGTACAAGAAAGACAGCAGTAGAAAGGCATGGGAGTGAACGGGAGGTGGGAATGAAAGATCCGTGTCGAGTTCACGAAACTTTTCTCAAAACTCGTTAAACCGCGTTCTTGAATAAAATTCTTCTCGCGAGGATGACCTCACCTCTCGAGCGAGGTTGACAACTTGGACACGCCTGGCAAATAATAAAAACTCTCGGGGTCCTTGGAGATTAAGCAGGCTCGTGATCGGCACGCGTGACACGCGACTCGCCTCTACTATATTATATCCAGCTTCATCGGGACGATTTTTGCCAACCCCGAAGGACGGCCGACCTTAAATTCACATGGCTGAACGATACTCGTTGGGTCTTCTCTGTTTTTTGATTCATATAGCGTCAATCGGACGGACCGAAATCCTACTAGGTGTGCCTATACCTGCGCGTCGGAGTTTAACGTTGAAAAAGAACCTGACCTTATCAGAGCTATAACGAAAGCCGGATAAGTGGTTGGACGAATAAAAGTTCTCCAGCACGATTTCAATGGAAGGTTCCTGGACGAAGTGCGGCCAAGAAGGTGCGGCACACCTCCTGCGAGGACTTCCCAGCCACGATATCGGCCAACTTCTCGAACGTCCAACGTCCAAGGGATTCGAAGTTCGAACGTGTACAGGTACTTTGGCTATTGCGAGGATTTCTATGGAGTCGTCCCTAAGTACGTGGAGGAGTAATGAGGTCGGAGGAGGCGAAGGTGCACTCGGGCACCGAGGCCAAATTTATTTCGTAACCTATAGTGATAACTCGATGCACTCTGCGAGTATCTTTAGTAGCGGGAATTTTTCAATTCCTCGAATTTCACCTTCGGAACGCTTATCAACCAAGGGGAGAAATTGATTTAGCCATTCGATCTCATTCGCGCGTCCCATCCTTCTTGGCCTCATGTTACTCGCGTCCCTCCTCTCTCTTACGCTGAATCTACTTTGCCAGACACGTAATGAAATTCGCGCGACTTCGGCATCGGTTGACGATTGGGGTTGGGATAAATATCTGAAGTAAGAGAGACAGGAGAGGCACGGAAGGAAATTGAGAGAGGGAGGAGGAGGAAAAAAAATAAATAACGAAAATCCAACAGCTAAAGAGGAAACGAGAATATTTCGTCAGAATGAGAAAAGTGAATAACACCAGGGGGAACGTATGAAGGCGTGCCATTTTTCAGCACCTTATTGTTCCGATAGTCCTCGAGGATGGTGGAGGGGTCCTTTGTGCTTCACGAAATAACTCATTCTCCCTATTTTACCCAGAGAAATTTACGTCTCTTGTTTCTGCATCAAACCCTCCTAGTCGGCCTTGCAATTGAACAGTCCTTCGATGTTTTCCATACCGCCTATCAGTGCCTTGCAAGCTGCACGAAAATATTACGCAAGACAGTTTTTATAATAAATTTCAAATCTGTCAGGACAGACAAAAATAAAGGTTAAATAAAAAAAAAAATTACGTTCGAAAATGCTTGATATCCAGGGAGATCTTCGGTATCAGCGTAACGCTAGCGTTATTCGTAGGATGGTAAAGTCGCCTTAACGTAGCGTTACTGTTTCCGCACGAGGTCTAGAAATATAGTCGGAC